GACTTAGTCGACTAAGCCGACGACTTAGCCGATGGCTCAGTTAGTCGACTATTAGTCGATCGACTAACAACACTAACTTCCACATTAGCGCAGTACATTAATATTGCAAGAGTCCATTGATTTTAGAACTGAACGATCTATATTCGATTCAGTCTTGGTTTTTTATACATTTAATTTTAACCCGAATTATTTTTGTCTATTTACGCCGTTAAGTATGATGTATACTATATATAAGCGTAATTAGAATAATAATAAATCCAGAGATATATCATATAAACCAAAATAAATTGATATGCAATAATAAATGTGTTTCGATCAACAGATCGATCAAAAAAAAGATTAATCAATACGAATATATACGAATATGAAATTGAGGTGATAAAATCTACAACTAATTTGAAATAATAACTATATATAACTAAATGAAGTATAAAAAAAATTTTTTTTAAAATTTATATAAATATATATATATATATTTATCATTTAATACCAAAAACTTATTTTTGATGTATATAATAAATTGTAAATGTAATGTAAAAAAAAAAATATATATATATATATAATTTTGCGGGAATTTCACACATTACTTGGCCATTATCGTGTTCATGTATAGATGCCGTACGTAAATTTAGAAATTGCGATAGATTAAAATTTTGACATCGAAGAAGTTAAGTTGAAAAAATTTACAAATATTTTAATCAGACACAAAATCTATTTTTGACGCACAACACATACATGTTTCATACAAACTTTTCACCACGACCTAAAATAGCCACTAGACCAGTAATGACTTTAGCCATACTATCACCTAATAGTCCCTTATTCATACCAGATTTACCACCTAAATGCTCAAATTCGGCTTTCATTGAATTATCAATTAATAGTGGTATCGTTAGCGTTATTCGAGCAAGTTGGATGGTCAATCGCAGACGACCAAATACATCAAAGTATGAAAGAGAACGAAGTTGTTGCTGAATCTCGTATAGACGGATTAATTCAAATTGAACAATTTTAACGTATTTTTTACCAGCTAACATAATGTAATATTATAAAAGAAATATATTATGAGTGAATTGAATTGTCTTATAAATTAAAATTATAAATGAGTTATATAAAGTATAATGTACCTAAAAGT